TTCTTGATATTAGTTTATTTAATATATAAATGTTAGTAAAACTCACAGTTAATACGTAATTATATTAATTTTTTCATACTTGTCTAAAATTAATGCGTACCAACTTTGTACAACACTAGTTATTGTGATGTTAACAAGTCCAATATTTAAGAAATTAATAAATTTATTATCAATTGTTGTAGTTCAAATAGTATAAGTTTTCTCAAAAACTTCAAATGTTATACATTATTAATCTTGTAATATACTACTTGCTTTTATACAATATTTTGTATTGAAATATTGTGGTGAATTACAATAACAAAAAAATAAAAATTCAATCAAATATATAGAATAAAAGCAAAGAGAATTACATACATCTATAATCATTACTCAAAAATTAGAATGAATGTTCCGATTATATGTTATTATTATTTTGTCACATTACATTTATAATCATTAAATATTATGCAATTTAGTTTCTAAACAATTGATGTGATAATATAATACAAGCTATAAATAAAAATAATTGTGATAATTATATACAATCTAAACATCAATCTCTTAGGGAATTAAATGATGTAATTAATTTTGTAACACATATTGAACACAACCTAGATCTAGAAATTAATTTGAGTACATACCAAAAGACAAAAAGGAATCCTAATCATGAACATCAACTCTCATATCAACTGACAAAAATAATTTAAGAAAATTAATGAAATTAACTTAGATTAAGTTTGAAACAAATTTTAAAAATTATTAATAAATTTGTGCTTAATTTAACTAAAAAGAAAATTAATTTGTTACAAATATTTTTTAAAAAATAAAATTTTAGAATAAATATTCTTATAAAAAATACTGAAAACGTAAACAAAGAGAAGTAAATTTATAAACAAGTGGGAAGATAAGAAGGGTTAGATGAGAATAATAAAAGCGAAAGACGGGAGGGTGGTGTAAACAGGAGGAGAAAAGTGCAAGTACGGGGAGCATCAACGTGGGAGAAACGCTCTCGACGGTGGAGATTTCACGACTCTTCTCTTCCTTACAGCACGGCAGATCGCCACACACTTCCCCATCTTTCCCCTATATATTTATATATATATATATATGTCTATACATTTATATTTTCACCTCAATCCACACTATATTTACTGTAGCTATACCCAAGTCAAAAAACCTATAAAATAATTTCTTTTGGGTTTTACATCAACGGCAACTGGACTGTGTATGCATATATATATATACATATGTATATATAGGTACTGTTGAAAATCTCTGGAATTGTGGGTTTCTGGCCTTAGTTTGTCTCTGTTTTGAAGGTGATATATAGAGAGAGTTGGAAAATGGGGAGAGCGCCGTGTTGCGGGAAAGTGGGACTCAATAAGGGGAGATGGACAGCGGAAGAAGATGAGAAATTGACCAAGTACATTCAAGCTAATGGTGAAGGCTCTTGGAGGTCATTACCCAAGAATGCAGGTAGTTTTACACTCACATACATACACTATTACAATCACCCATTTAATCCACACTGGTTTTATTGACAGCCCAGCTGTTTCTTGAATTCTAGTTTACTATGTTTAAAAATGTTACGTGAATCACTAGTTTAACTGAATGATATCAGCTTGATGCGTTTATTTCTCCATTACAATCCGAATAGCATTATCTTATGGTGTGTCACTATTGATTGAAGATTGTCTTATGTTATAATTGACTCTTTAAGTATGATATACTTGATGAATATATGTATATATCCTCAGAAGTACTTTGTTCTTGAAGGGTTGTTGAGATGTGGGAAGAGCTGCAGACTGAGATGGATGAACTACTTGAGGGCTGACCTGAAGAGGGGAAGCATAACTGCTGAGGAAGAAGAACTTATTGTTAAGTTGCCTACTACTTTGGGAAATAGGTTTGTCCACTTAACCATTTTTACCTTATTAAGCTCCAAATGTTTTGCCAACATCCAAAATGTGAGAAACCATTATAATTAATATTTATTTTCGAAAAAATGAAACAGAAACCATTAATGCGATACATGAATAATATCAAATGAAATTCCTCGTCCCTTTTCTTTTTATTGCTATTTGCTCTCGTTTCATGGTATCTATCTAACTGAGGTTGTGACGAGTTACCATTCAATACTCGGTTTCCTAAAGTTTTGAAGGTGACTATATTAATTAAAATTAAAAATAATAATAATATTATCAAAAAAGAAATGCCAATTGTAGTAACTATATATTTTATCTGTTAGCCAGCTGGTCCTTGTGCTGTTACTTTTAAATGGGTATAAGTAAAAATGATTCCCAAATTAAATAATTCGCTCTTACGAAAAAATAATTAAATCAAAGGTTAAAAAAACTGGCACTGTTAGAATCGACTTCAACTTTTCACAATATATATATATTGTGAGTAGATTGTAAAGGAAAGCTTTTAACAATGGCAGGTGGTCGTTAATAGTGAGTCATTTACCGGGACGAACAGACAATGAAATAAAGAACTACTGGAACTGCCATTTGAGGAGAAAGATTCACAACCTCCGAAAGTTTATTTCAAACGAAACTCTTTCTGTCATCGCCGATGTCACGAATCTCGCCGCCGCAACCGAGCCAAAACCGCCCGCTGACAAACCAAGCAGTGGTACCAGACGGCCGGCAAAGAAGAAGCATAAAGCTGGGAACCTCCGAAACGACGTCGCAGCGAAGCAGCCAGAAGCGAAGGTACTTTTGGCTTCAAAACCATTGCCATGTCCACCAACTAATCTAGACCTGGACGAAGGTGCCATGAGAGACGTGAATTGCTTCATGAATCTGGATCATCCGTGCGCGGAGAGGGATACAACGTCGTTTCCGAACCCAGCTGGAGGTTCAAGTCCCTCTCGAGACAGTACTAGTGCAGGCCATGCAGTTGCAGACGACAACGTTCATGGAATTCTCTCGTGTTCTGGTGAGGAGAGAGAAGAGACATTAAATGGAAATTCAATGTCGTGCCCAGGTAGTGGTGGACAGAAAGAGACGGAAACTCTTTTGGGTCCACACAACGACGTCACTAATGGTGATGATGATTGGATATTATGTTTTAGCGAACTTATGGATAAGGAGCTTTTGGACCCAGATGAGCTTTTGACTGTGAGTGATTATTCTGCGGTTGTGCTTACAGGTGTTGATCAAGGGACAATCATGAGTAGTGGTGGCGGTAGTGGCGGGAATTGTAGTATGACCATCTCCTCTTCGTGCTCCTCAGAAATTTCTTGTTTGGATACCGAGAAATTTGATTTAGGTAACAATTGGGAATGGATATATAATTATCTTGAAAGGCATAATGAGATTTTGGATGTCGAGAAAGACGACATGTTTTCTTGGTTGTGGGATAATGACAATGAAGTAGGGATAGGGAATGGTGAAAAAAGTAACATTAGTGGATATGAAAGTGATTTTGATAAGCAAAACGCCATTGTCGCTTGGCTTCTCTCTTGATTGTTTGATGAGTGTTTGTTATGTCTTGATTGTTTTTGGGCAGCAAGGATGAGTGTACAAAAAGTCAAAAGCTATATCCTTTATATTTGTTTAGTCACCAACCTTTTTGTTAATTAGTGAGTTCGTTTGATTGATTTTGATAAGGATTTATTTAGTGTAAATGATTCAAAACGCTAATTGCTCCTTGTATTATTAATTGTTTTTTTTATCATTTAGTCTATGTTTTGATTTTTGTATTTATATTTTTTAAAAAATATTTGATTTAGTCCATTTTCATTATTAATTTTTAACATAATTAGTTTCAACCGCCACATGCAAAATTTATTAATACGTAACATAACATATATTGAAGTTATATTAAATGTTACGTGAAATTTGAAATGATAAAAAAAATTTGCATGTAAATTAGTTTGAATCAGTCCATAGGTAAGAAGAAAAAAAAACAATATACATCTCCCAACCTACCTGGCCTTAAACCTTAATCTAAATGTTTTAAAGAGAGAGAGAGAGGGATAAACGAGGAGGCTAAGATCTGGCGCGATCGGTTCGTCGGAGGCACTTCCACGCCGGATAACAGCACGCGTAACTGTGGCAAGCAACCAGTTCTTATTGCATTAACCAAGATAGTCTTACTCGCTCCTGAACTGTGCGGCGACTTCAGCCACCAACTTCCATACCAGAGCTCTGCCAGAGTGCAGTTAGCCAGCTTCGTGACTTTTCCTACCTTCTAACGTTGTAAAGGGACAACCTTTCAATTTCTAGGCACCCGTCAAGGATGAAACCCACAAAATTCTTCCCTAAAAGTCAAGCCGTAGTCCATGTCCTTTGCAAAAGTGGAAGGAGTTAAGAGGGAGCGCCCTTTTTCCCTAAAAAATTGTCAGCTTCGCTTCGCTTCTGAATCTCGGATGCTGCTGCAAAACAAGCCTTCAACTGAAGTAATAATCCTTAACTGCATTAGTTAGAGCACAACAACCGCAACCAACAAAAAAAAATCACAAATAGGCTAGTTGCTCGCCGCCATTTCTTTTAGTGTGCAGAAATTAGAAAGAGAGTGGAAGAAGAAGAAGGTGGTGTTAGAGAGAGAAATAAGTAAATTGTGAGTTATTTATAAATATTGTGATTGATGTATATATATATGAGTTAATTGATAAATATATATATTATATGTTGTCAGTATATTTTATACTTTTATTAGAATCTAATGCATAATTTAGTATTGTAAGAAAATTATGAGTTAAACTATAAAATGTTATCTCATATGAAAAAAACTCATGTTTCTTTTGCACTCTACAAAAATTAAACTCAAATGTTAAGAGCATGATGGAAACTCTATCTGCTAATCAAATTCTTATTCCTTTCCTAATCTTGCTTTCAACAATCTATTAATTCATAATAATTGTTTTATCTAATAAAAGTTCAAATTTGTTCTAAAAAAAATTATTTGAGTAATCAAAATATTAATGCAATGACTTAATTAATTAGTTCTAATTACCTCAATACGTCATATTATGACACGTATTTGAGTAATCAAAATGTTAATGCTGTGATTTAATTAATTAGTTCTAATTAGCTCCGTGTATTAGAACTAATAAATGCTGACGTGTTCGCACGAATAAATTTGGATTGTACGAATTGCGTCAATTGCAACCGCTGCCAGCGATGAGCCACCCCAAGTTTCTTCTTCTTTTATTTATTTATTTTTCTATTTTATTTCCTTTTCTTCTCTCCGTTATCACTAATTTAAATAATAAAAATATATTTTTATTAATAACTATATAATAATTTTAAAAAATATAAAAATATCTTATTCAAATAACAACAATGTGTAAAAATTATTTTTTATGTTTCTTTATTTTGTAAAAAATTACTGAATTATTTCTTTTGTTGTAGATTTATGGTAACCTACGCATGAGGCAAATGATAATACACGTGGCAGAAAAAATCTCATGTGTTGTACGAGTCAATTCGATATTTGGTATAAATAATGAAGTGTCTCTTATATACAAAAAAAAAAAAAAAAAAAGGAGGAGGTGCTAAAGCACATGTTTGGCTTGGAATTGATATACGAAATTAAGGTATTGAATGTATAGTTGGAATCAAATTTATCAATTATCCAAATAAATATCATACTGCTGTATGTATAGTTCAATTAAAATTAATTACTATGGAAATATTGAATTTTAATTTTCAACCATGCAAATTGATTTTTGTTAAGATATTATTTTTAAAACATTTAAATTAATTTTTATACTTTTAAAAGAAAATTATTTCAATTCATTACTAATATTTATAGAAATATTAGGTGGATCTAAATTTATATTTAGTGTCACATTTTACTTACATCATTATTTAATTCAAACGTTACATGCTTAATTGTATAACATTTAATACATAAAAAGTTAAATTTTAATTATTTTTAAATATAATAAAAGTTATATAATTTCTTGTGGCTAATTGGCTTCTCTTCTCTTGTTTGTTTATTTGTTTAGTCTCCAAACTTTTCGTTAATTAATGGGTTTATTTTGTTTCGTTTTGATAATGATCTATTTAATTTATATGATTCATAAGGTTAATTGTGTTGAGAATAGAAACAACTGGCAACAGCCGCTGCTTGAAAACAAGTGTGCCAACTTGTCCAGCTCAGCGAAAAGCTCCAGTCAGCATGCAAACTCATCACACAGATCACCGATAAATACACATGGCCGACAACGGGAACGCAATCATCCTCCCCTTAAGTGCCAAATCGTCCCTGTCTGAAAATCATTAAAGCTGCATGTACCACCTGTATTTACGTATATTGTTTTTGGTCCTCTGTGTCTTTTGCATTGTTGTTATTTTCTGTCTTTCAAGAGCCAAAGAGCTCTATAAATGTATTCACCTCCCAACCTTTTAATATAATGAATGAACATTTCCATCTTTGTTGAGAATTGTCCAGTTTCATAAACAACTCCAAACAAACTAGTTTTCTTAACTTTGTATCAGAGCCACGAGGCATCATGGCAGGAGAGAACAACAACTCCTCTACCTTCAACCCAACACCTCAAAGAGTTCAAACTCTGTATAGCAGCTCAATGAGCTCAGTGTGTGCTCTGAAACTCAATCACGATAACTATCTCATCTGAAAAAAGTTGGTTCTCCTAATCATAAGAGGTAACAAACTTGAAGGTTACCTCACCAACGCCAAATCAAGCCCACCTGAGTACACAGAAAGAACCATAGAAGGAAGTGCTGAAGTTAAAATCATTATAAACCCGGATTTCAAAGACTGGTTTGCACAAGACCAAATGTTATTGGGTTTGGCTTTACAGCTCCATTGAGACCAACTTAGCCTCCCAATTGATGGAGCACTCAATATCAAAACTCTTATGGGAAGGAATCCGTGATCTTTTCACAGTTAAATCACGAGCAAACATAATCTACTACAAAAGTGAATTCGTTAAAATGTAAAAGGGTAACCTGAAGATGGAAGAATACCTCAAATCCATCAAAGAAATTGTTGATAATCTTGCCCCAACAGGACATCCTATTACCCTGGAGGATCTCACCTCAAAAGTCTTTGCTGGTTTAGACTCTTCTGAATATAACCCACTCGTGTGTCAAATCATAGAAAAAGAAAGCGTAAGTTATGTGGAATTGCAGTCTTGACTGCTCAACTATGAAAGACGGCTGGAACAACTCAACTTGACCACGACCACTCCAAATCTCGGATGACCCTTAGCACTTTTCTCTAGCATTAAAAATACCAAAACTCACTAGAACTCACATTCTCAATCAATCAACAGAGGATGTGGACGCAACAACTCCTTTAATAGAGGAGGTCGTCACCACAACAGAAGAGGAGTAAGGGCCGGTGGTAACTCCAGACCAATCTGCCAGGTGTGTGGCAAAATTGACCACACTGCTGCTTACTGCTATTACCGGTATGAAAACAACTACATGGGAACCATTCTAGAAAACTCTCCCAAAGCTTATCAAAGTTCAATTCTTTCAGCAACCCCTGAAGACCCTCTTGAAGACCCACTTTGGTAGGTTGATAGTGGTGCTAATAATCATGTAACAAGAGATGTCAACATGCTGCAGTCCAAACAATAATATGAAGGAAGTGAAAGTTTCATGATTGGAAATAGTGAGAAAATAAACATAAAAAATGTTAGTAAGGCAAATATTCATACTCCCAAAAATAGAAAACTAACCTTAAACAGAGTTCTGCATGTACCAACGATCAATAAAAATTAATTGAGTGTCTCTCAACTTACCTCCACTAACAATGTTGAAGTTACTTTTGACACATCTTCCTATTTTGTGAAGGACAAAGCCACAAGCAAGGTGCTGCTGGTAGGGAAGCTTAAAGACGGCTTATATTGTTTAGGCTCATCAGGATCAACTCCTATTTTTCATCCTTATTATCAAACCCTCTTCACTAACAAACATTATCAAATCCCTGAATCTTTTAAACTTAATGAGAACTTATTTTATGGTGCATGTCAACTAGGCAAGTCTCATCTTCTTCCCTACACTCCATCTGTATCAAATGCAAAAGCCCCCTTTAAAATTGTTCACACTGATGTCTGGGGACCATCTTCACTCCCTTCTCTCTCTGGCCATCAGTACTATGTAATTTTCATTGATGATTATAGTCGGTTCACCTGGCTTTATCCACTAAAATAGAAATAAGAAGTTATTCAAACCTTTACTCTATTTAAACACCAAACAGAAACTCAATTTGGAAGGAAAATAAAATGTCTGTAATCAGACATGGGAGGAGAATTCACTGGCCTAGCTCAGACTCTCCAAAATAATGGGATTAAGATTAGATACTCGTGCCCCTACTCTTTAGCTCAAAATGGACGTGCTGAAAGAAAACATCGGCATATAACCGAAACCGGCCTCACTCTTCTTACCGAGTCGGGTGTGCCATTGAAATACTGGCTGGATGCTTTTGAAACAATCGTATTCCTGATCAATAGAATGCCCACACCTACCTTGAATCAGTCTTCACCACTCGAAAAGCTTTTCCACAAAAGGCCTGACTACAAA